TTTTTTTTTTTTTTTTTTTTTTTGCAGCTTGTCTGACTCATGATCTGCCAAGCGGCAAAAAAAGGTCACAGAGATGGAAAAAAACGTTTTGGAGAATTTAAATGCAGCACAGTGTACCCCCAGTATCGGTGTTTTACAGGGGATTTTTATTTTTTATTTTTGTCTGAAAGACATGAGTTTGGTCATCAGATTCGATGAATTTCTTCATATCCATGTCAAGCGACGAGATGAATTGCAAAGCTTGCATGTTATTTGCCTAAAGTCCCAGGAGCTGTGATTTAAAAGACAGAAACTGTCAAATAAAGCGGAAGGCAATTTTTCTCTTCTCCCATCAGGGCGTTAAGTAACTCGCATAACATTTAATGAATTATCAAAATGAGGTACGGGAGTTGTGAGCCAGAACGTGGATGAATGATGCGTCCTGGTCATTGAGGTTTGAGCTGACAAAGTCAGCAGTTAAACGGCAATTACACAACTTAAACACTGGCAGCTTGCGAACTCGTAAATCACAAGCAGCCTTTCTCTTTGTTTTTTTTATTTTTTTAGAATCTGACGAAAGGCGGAGGTCTGGCCGTCCCTACCGAGCTTTCCTCCACAGGTGGCGGTGGCGGTTCGTGAATAATCTGCGGGACAGGAAACAAAACGTTAGCACAAGCTAAAGGTCAACGACAGATTTATCAAAACGATTTTTCAAAAGAACCCACAGCAATGCGCCCTCTTTGCAACAAGATAGTTACACAGCAACAAGGAACTGTTTTTTTCTTTTTGTTGTTGTTTTTTTTCAGTCTCCACTATTTACAAGTTCAATGTGCTGACCTAAAAACCTGCTCTCCAGATTCCTTTGGCCTGAGGTCATTGATTAGGAAGAACGAAGAGTAACAGGGTTGTAAATTCGGTTATTGTGCACCAATTTTGTTTATGAAACAAATCTGAAGCATTATTTACTTGAAGACTTTCCTAATTATTTGATCCAAACAATTTGATTAGCTCTATTTTTTTTTTACCGTGTAAAGATCAGTTTTTATGCGGTCTGTAATAAACGTAACAGTTCAGATTTTTAAATACCTTAAGTTTTTTTTTTGTTGTTTTTTTGTGGGTTTCTATCCCTGCCCCTTGAAGTCTTGGACCAGACTGGCATTCCCCATGGTAACCTTGCAACGTTTTTCCAAAACACTTTCTTGCTGATCAGACTTGCTAAATGGACAAGGACAGGAAAACTGCACAGAGTGAAAGTCACGCCGTAAAAAGCTCACATCCCTCACTGGCATTTCCCGGCTTTCCAGGTTCCAGCACTGGAAACTCTGGAGGGAATTTTGAGGAGAGACTGACATTCAGCTGCTGGTAACAAATGTATTTAACCCTTTCATGCATAGTGGTCACTACAGTGGACAGCTATCTAAAAGCCATTTTCTTGTGCTTCTTGTGGATTTTTATGTTATAAATGCACACAGACCACTGAAGTGGACACTACATTAATTACAAACCATGCAGTTAACTTGATTCTAATTTTTTTTCTTGAGTTGGATATAGCTGAATTTTGGACAGTACATGGAAACAATATGTTAGAGACAACACATTTGTGACTGGGTTTGACACTCACCTTCCAGTAGGACAACAACACACTAAACATGCAGCTAGAACCACTTTGAAATGGTTTAGATGTGCTAGTCCAGTTTAGAGTCTGTGCTAAGAATTCAAAATTGATGTTCTAATCAAACTTGAGCTTTTTTTCCAAAATTACACCCTTTTAGACGTCCACATACCCCAAAAGATGCTGTCGCAGCAAAAGGTGGTTCTAGAAAGTCAACATTTTTCCTTTCACTTCACAACAACACGTTTGTTTCTCATGGACTGTCGCATAAAATTCCAATAAGCTGCATCAAAGCTTGTGATTACTCCATGACAATATGTGAAAATCTTCACTTTTACAACCGCATGTAAAGCTGCATGAAAGACACGCAGAAGCCTTATGGATAACTCACCACGGTGCAGCAGAGAGGCCAGAACCACCAGAGGAGAGCCAGAACCAGGAGCAGCATGAGGATAAGCAGAGCTATGGCCAGGATGGTCCCGTCAGACTGTAACGCAGACAGAATCGTCAACATGGCGTCGTAAAACACCGTGTGCCAAAACACAGCCAAAGGTTTTGGCTTACTGCTCTGCACTGAAGAAGCTCTTTTGGTTTTATCTGTCACAGAGATCAGATTTCAAGACTTCATGGCTGCACAAGTAGTTCTTGGTTTAATTTGCAACTGGATTCTTTAGACCTATATTTCATTTAAACCCATTGTTCTGAGTTATTCTTTAAAAGAACACCATGTTACCCTTCTGCTGCTGCTTCAGAGAACTACACTCACACATTTCACAGTGGTGATGGTGACCGAACTGGAGATGAAACTGAGGCCCTCGTTCATACTGACATCCAGATTCGCTGCCCTTGGAGAGGAAAAGAATTAAAAACAAAAAACATCTCAGCTGTCAATTACAGTCATTGCTTTTTCCTTAGAAAAGCAACAAGCAGGTTTCTTATGAAGCCCTTTATTTGTTTAAATGAGCTCAAGGACTTACATCCCCTCCTCCTGAAGGACTGGGGCGGGGCAGAGGAGATATGTGTCCTCAACAGTTAGAGGCTTCATCACTGGAAAAAAACATGAAAAAAGAAGAAAATGATGAAAAATTGCTGAAGCCTTCAACAGCCCAGGTCGCAAACTAGATGATTGTGTTGACAGAAGCAAACATGGTTGGTTAATCTCTTGACTAACCGTGGTAAAGTTAGTCAAGAGCAGAGAAAAATATATTACGGTTGCATCTGAAAACAAGTTCGACATTGTGGAAAAGTCCAACGTTTGGAGTGAAGTGAAACTCATGTATTATGTAGATTCATTACTCTGAGTGAAGCCTTTATTTCTTGTAATTTTGATTACTGTGGCTTACAGCTAATAAAAACCCCAAATTCAGCATCTCAGACAATTGGAATATATATATATATATATATATATATATATATATATATATTCACAGAATATATACAGAAAGGTACTTAAATGAAAAAACAAGTGGCAGGAAAATATGCACCAGCAGTAGGGATAGCTGCAGGACTGGGAGGATTGTCAAACAAATTCCTTTCAAGAACAGAGAAAGAAATGAACTGTTGCTCGGAGGTCCACATTTCTCCTCTCAGACGAAAGCAAAGTTTGAATTTCGTTTGAAAATGAAGCTCTCAGAGTCTGAGGGGAGAGTGGAGCCCAGTGACGTTTCCTCAGTTAGTGATGATTTCGAGCTCTATGTCATCTGCTGGTGTTGGCCCACTGTGTTTTCTGAAGTCCACAGTCAACACAGAAATCCACAAGGAAACTCCAGAGCACTTCGTGCTTACTTCTGTTGGCAAGCTTTGCAGAGATGTGGATTTTATTTTCCAGCAGGACTCGGCACCTACCCACTCTGCCAAAGGCACCAAAAGCCGATTTGGTGCTACTGCGCCCGACTGGCCACCAAACTCTCCTAACATGAATCTTGTGAATTATTGTTGAAATTTCAGAAGTCAGCATGACACATCCACAATTTGCTTCACTAAAACTTTATTTAGGATTGTGTGAGTGAAGGGGAGGAGAACAAATCCAGAGATTTTTATTTCTAAAAAGACTGAAATTACCTTTTATTTCCACTCCACAGCTAAGCACTACTTCGTGTTGCTCTCCAACATCAACCACCAAGAGATGCATGAAGTTTCACAAAAGCTGAACATGTTTAAGGGATGTGATTATTCTTGCGAGGCATTACAAAAGACCTGTTGCTCAAATAATTGTTCTAAAAGTTTCTCTAACAAGCGCTTGTCACCTGAGGCTCATGCTCGTCCTAATAGGAGGACAGCAAACCCAGGAACAGACCGGATCAACATAAGAAACTGTTTTGTTTTTCCTACAGACACAAAGAGCAATGCAGAGGAGGGGCAGCAGGGGTGGAGGTGGCCGGTTTCTGCCAGAAATGACTCCACGTCGCGACAAACGAGGCCAAGCATGTTCATGGACTCAAAGGATCCATCTAAAGCAAAAAAGAAAAAACATATCGGAGAAAATCCCAGTTCAAGAGTTGATGGGAAGTGATTTGCTGTCGTCTGCACAGTTTCCAGAAAACCCTTTGAGGACAAGGGTTTTGGCTCAGCACCCTCAGGCTGCGTCACGATGTTTTATTCGACCGGTTGCTCCGGGAGAGGTCATGTTTTGCTATGAGGTGCAGACAAGTGCCCAGAGTTTAGAAGAAAAGGGATAAACTTAGGAAGAAGACAAATATATAAACACTGGAAAGATGCTGGCAGCACAGTCAGCAAGCAGATTCTGAGGAGAAACTTGTATGTTTGGAAAGCTTGAGAACTGGCTTCGAATTGAACATTTATCAAATTCGCTTGCTAAGATTTTAGCAACAAAAAGTGGATTCGACAGAAACAGGAAACAGATCTGACCTTTGGTTGAATTATTGTCCTGCAAAATGATGCATTTCTCCATATTGGTCTGACATCACAACTATAAAAGGATAATCTAGTGCATATTTTTTAAGTGAAAGGAAAATTATGGGTGATTTTCATATCACACTGTCTGCATCATGTTAATGTTAACGTCTGCAAAGGACTTTAGACTGGTTTGGCAGTTCACCTTCAGCAGGAAAACAATCTGAAACATGCAACCAGATCAATAACTGGATTATTTGAATCTAATCATATCTACGTGTCAGAATGGTCAAGAACCAAAATGCTATTGAGAATCTGTGGCAAGACTTGGAAATTGGCATGAACAGATGCGCTTTTTCCAATCTGAGTAGAAGAACGAGGAGAAGGGGGAAACCAAAAGGTATGAGCACTTTTGCAAGCAACTGTAGAACTGGAAGAACAGCGTGTTATAAATGTTAACATCCTGGAGCCAAAGATAAACTTATTTGTTTCATACTTCATCCAACTGCAAAAAATAAAAATAAACATGGAAATTATCTGTTTTTCTTTGTAAGGAACAGAGGAAAAAAATGTTTACATATCTGCATTTTGCACTCAAAATGAAAGAAAGAATCCCAGAATGTTTCCATGTTTTGCAGTAATCACCCGCTGCTCCACTGAAACATCTGTCAGAGAGCAGCTCAGGACAAGACCTGCCAGCTCCCCGCGGCCCTGACTGTTTTTGCTGCTACTTTTTTCCTGGAGACACAAACTCAAACATCAATTCATCTGTTTAACACATGTCGTGGCACAGCGCTGCTTTCCTTTTGTACCACTTTGACGAAATCCGCCTCGTATGAGGGAAGGTTAAGGACTTAACGCATCAGCAAAGGAAAAAGGCTTTTATCACTGGGAGACTCAACTACGACCCAATTATCTTCCCTTAAAGTTTACCTCTTAGGGGAAATAAGTTCCACAGAGAGATTGTGTGCAAACATTCTCAAGAAGCAAATTGCCCTGAGGAAAGATAGCTGGGCGGACATGAGGAGTCGGCTCCTCTGCACAAAGCTTGCAATAATATAATCAGTCACCAAACATAGAAAAGAGAAAATGAAAAATACTGACCAATCAACGAGAAAACATAACCTGTGCAAAGCAACCATAAAGATCGCAAAATAATTTCCTAGGATCAGGTTAAAAAGTTTACAATCCTTTGTAAGTTTAACTGGAAACGCAGACACGTTTGATGGTAAACAGTTTTCTTTGCGTCTAATGCAGCAGGCGTAGCAGGAGGGCTGCTTGTAAAGAACAGAGGGGGATCTGTTTGGATCCATACAGACCTTTTATCTCTGTTTGCCCTGTGCAGCCTCTCTTTTATCTCCTGCTCTCCCCCTTTCATCAGCCTATAAAACAGCCCAAAATGTCGCCTTAAAACGGCAATAATGCCAGTAACAACAGTAAAGCCGCTTGTTTGATCGGGAACGATTCCAGCTGTTCAGATGACTCTCCACGCTTGTTGTTCCAGCTGATTTCACCGTAAAACAACCGAGTTACCGGCTCTGCAGCTCTGGGTCACTCAGAGAGTGTGGCGTGTGTAAGAAGCATTTTGTTTGGTGACGGTTGACTTACTCTTGGTCACAGTGTCGTTGATCCGGAAGCTGCACAGAACTTTGTCGACGTTTCTGGCATGGAGGAACCCATTTCCTGTTACCACAACCTGGAATGACTCTGGTTGGAGGTCGTAAGACAGAAATGTGCAGTACGTCAATTCAACAGCATCGATAATGGACAAATGCAATCATATTTTAGCATCCAAAAATCTACAAGTCTTAAAAGTATGACATTTTAATAGAGCACAGTTGACTTTCTACTCTTTTGTCCAAACGAATAGGTTGTTTTAAAGCCTATTTCTGTAACAAATTGACCATTACCCAGTATGAATGCATGTAACATTGGAGCACAACTAACTGATTTAAAGAGAAAACAAATTGTTTTCTTGATTTAAAGAAAAAAAAAATCAAACGGGTATCAAGTATATCGAGTGGCTGTGTAGCCACTTATTGGTGCCATAGAAAAGAATGATTGAAAAGAATCATTCTTTGCCCAAAAATCGCTTGTGAAACAAAGGCCGGGAAAAGTCGATAAGAGAGTAGGAATTGTTGCCCACCAAATACAGTTTCCCCACTGGAAACACTTTTCTCCCTAAAATTCAGAACAACTCAAAAGCTGAGCGACGAGAACAAAGCACATTTCATGCCACTGTGAGCAGATAGCCTCAGTGCTGTCATCAGTCGGACCAGTAAGGCAACCGCAGCCGTTGTTTGTGAGCAAAGTTTCTCAGGTTGTCAAAAATGTTGATGTTTTATCGTGGCTTTTACACCTTGCGTGTCCTCTGTCAGTATGCATACTGACATCTATGAACTGATTTATTAAATTAACTCAGTTAAATAAACAACTTCCATGGTCCTCCTACATGTTCACCTACCATGATCACCTGCAGTAAAACATCTTTTTGTCAGTGTTGTAACCTAATAAATGGTAACTTGTATGACAGCATTTTAAATTTGCTTCCATCCTACACATGAGTAGCAAATGGCTTGAAGGGACATTTTAGAACAAGCAATATGCTGTGGTAAAAAAAAAAAAAAGTGCAGGGGGACGTCTTGAGTTTGAGTGACATAGATTTTAAATTTTAAATAACATCCTGACAGCTCCATTACTGTAGACCACTACCACTGCAGAGCACCCTAATAAAACAAAACAGCCGTTGACACCAGTGGACCTCAATACAACAGGCTGTAGTTTTTGGTTTTCAATTTTTGTCACTAGAGGCTGTTTGCATAACTGTGGGGAATTACAAGAAGACTGGAGTTACCAAAGAGAGTTTTCACATTGTTGGGTAGCAGTCTGGGTTGTTAGGGCTACAAACCTTCCCTTCTCATCTCATAAGCCTCATGAACTCACATTTGAGGTGGAGACTTTATTTTATTTTATTTTTTTTACATATTTCTCAATTTTAGATATGGAAATAAACATAATCAGCTTCTCTACTGAACACAGCCAAAAAGGAAAAGTTGTAAAAAATAATAAGTGTGTTAATGATAGTATGTGGTTGTCAAGTTAACAGATATGTTGTTAAATATAATTCAGCTTAATTTGCTTTTTATTTATTAATGCATGACATTTGAATCATTCTTTATTTTCTTACTCGTTGCAGTGAGAATCATTTATTGTGAGATTTGCATTTTGTCACCTTCAAAAAAACAAAACAAAGGTAAAACTAAACTTTACAGTGTGCTACATTACACCTTGTTTTTATTTAAATGTCAGAAAAAAAGTCAGGCTTTGTCAAGCTACGGGGTAAGAAAGCACTCTTCAACGGGGAGTTATTAAACAGACGGAGGAAGTTAAGCAAAAGCCTCGTCGTTCCCATCCTACCTCCTGCACATATGCTGGAAGGCTCTGCTGCCAGAATCTCGATGCAGGACTTCTTCAGAATCTGAGGAGAAAAACAGAAAACAAGCGCAATTTGTGTCTTTCAGCAATACTAGAGTTTGTTTTTCTCAACCTGTAAACCAGTTTGAGCTACGGGGCATTTTGAGGTTCATGTGTGGTTACTGCTGAGCTGTAAAGGACTGACCCACATTTATCTAGAAACATGTACGCTGTGACCCCTAAAGAGGAGGAGGGTTGATTCATAACCCAGTGGCACACACACACACGGGTAAGAAGCTGCAGCTTTCAGTTTGCTCTTAATTTGATCCAGATGTCTGCAGCTGTCAGACCTTTACTGCTTCTCAAAAAAAAAAGAAAAAAAAAACTTTTCTTATGTTATGCGTGTTCTGATAGTTTCAAGAAATAATGGGGAACTAAATACGAGGCTAATGCGAGAAGACCAATTAAGTAAAATCATTTTTATTTTCTTGGTATTAAAATCTGCTTTTTGTGTAAATGTGAGTGTGGCAACAGAGAGAAGCTTACCGAGTCTATGACTCCTTGCAAGGCCTCAAATCCACCATTTACAGGAAAGACGTGGTCTTTGCTGTCAGCAATCTTCGCCAACTAGAATGAAACAAATCATTACAGCTCCAAATGACAGGGGGGAGATGGTCTGGTTGCAGCTGTGGCGCATTTGCTTACTCAACCGAAGATTTTGCTCTGTCAGAATTTAGTTGCCTCATGTGCTGACAGTGAAAGTATTCATACCCCGTGAATATTTTTCATTGGGATTTTGTGACAGACTTAGTACAAAGAGGTGTTAGTCTTTGACTAACACAAAGAGACTGTTAGTCTTTATGATTAACACAGTCTCTTCGTGTTAGTCGAAGACTAACACACAAATAATTCATTATGTGCAAAATGGATTCATGTTTTTATTAACATTATTGAATGGATCTACAGTCATTGCAGTCGTGGAGGAAACCCATCAGAGGCTGCAAAAGGCTAATCATTCTGGTGGATGAAATGATTAAGATCAAGGTGCATTCATGGATTAGAATGGCCCAGTCAAAGCTCATTCTTTGAGCCTACTGAAAATCGACTAAAGATTAAAAATTTTCTGTTAGCAGCAGCTAATCTGAGCATAAGTCATTTTCCAAAGAAGTTAGACCAAAAATATCATTCCCTAAATATGCAAAGCTGAAAGAGACGCCGCAAAAAACATGATCCTGTAGTCCCTGCAACAGAACAAACCATTGACTGAGAGGAGGTGAATATAAATGCATGCCACACTTTTCAGATTTATATGCGTCATGCATTGTTTACCTCTGACCTCACAGTTATGAGCTACTTTGTGTAGATCTATTACACAAAATACCAATAAAATAAATTTATGCTTGTTATTATAATGGGACAAAATGGTGGGGGGGAACTTGGGATGCCAGTGTTAATAAAAATACAAAAGTAGCTTGCTGGAAGAAACTGAAAAATACGCAACATTTGTTTATTAAAAAGAAAGACTTATTGGCTTGACACGACACATTAATCGAGCTAACAAGCATCAAATCCCGAACGCTCAATTACTTATTCTTTGCAGAAATAAAATCGCTTAAGTTGGATTTCCAAAGCTTACATTTTTGTGTTTTGCTGACGTTGGAAGTTGCAACTCGCATAAGGAGACGCTTTGATGTCACGAGGCAAAAAAAAAAACTTCAAAACCACACACCTGTGTCTCATTGAAGTCCTTGACTCCAACGCAGTAAACTGTGGCACCCAGACTTCTGGAGCGGTTTGCCTGTCAGGTATGCACACAGGGTCACAGTGGAAAACAGGAAGAAGCTCGACGCCTGGCTTCAATTACACCTCAGCCTTTCACAGCATCATCCGCAACATGTCTCTAAAAAATGACTTTTGCCTCTAACATGACATTACAAGTAGCTGAGCAATACCGTTTTACTGCATAACAACACTCAAAGGCCTAAAAACATCAGTGCTCTGCTGTTATTATCTGTCTGCCAAGCAGAACATGTAGGTCTGATTGTTCATTTTACAGGAAGTTATTACCCTGGAGTTTGCAGTTGACAGTTAATGACATTAAGACCCTCTCTCCCCCCGTAATTTCCAAGAAGCTCATTTCCAGCTAGGGGGAATCTCAGATCAGCCTGGCTAGTCAACATGTATCTGAAGCAATAAAAGAAAATAACGGAGGGACTGCTGCAGGCAGAGTGCCTGCAAGGTCTAAGATGCAGATAAATCATTAGATCCCAGAGAGCAGGGAGATAAAAAGATGATGCATGTCGTGGCAGCCTTTCATCTGGATCATTCAGCGTATCGGTAACATGCTAAAGTTTGTCATATTCTCTCTGTTTTCACTGCCTCACCTCCCTCTCTGCGTAGAAGAAAAAGTCCTCAAGCAGCTCTCCATCAGTCAGAGCTATGATGACGCTGGCGGTGCGGTAACCTGCGCACAGAAGCGATACAGAATATGTCTTATTGTCATGGCTCATGTTATTCTGAATATTCATAGGACGGCAAATGCAGGTCAGTTGGATAGAAAGCTTCAAAACAACCCAAAGACATCCGTCCCTCAGGTTGATCATAACCTAGAAGACGCTGGAACGACAATGACGTTTCAGTCCATGCAGAATCTTATCATCACCCACGACTGAGGAAGAACCAACTCTAACAAACGTCTTCAAAATTACATATGAACAATCTATAGGTAAGCACGGTGGTGGCAGCATCATGCAAAGGGAGAGTTTCACTGCCAGATGAGCACATGGAGGATGAAATAATGTAGGAGGACTACCAAATTATTCTTTACCTTGATCTTAAATCAACACCTGAGTTGCTGAAATGTGGACACAGCTGGTTGTTCCAAGAGTGAAAACTCACACGGAAACAGACATTTGAGAATTACTACAAAACTGTATGATACAGCACAATGTATGGGACATTTAATCATGTATTGGGTGCATGTGTACTTGGACATGTGCACATATTTAGAAAGTCTAATTCAATTCCACTTTATTGTCAAAACTGTTGAGACACACACAGAGTTTAAATACGGTTTCCCTAATGTCCCTGCTACAAACATCAATGCACAAAAATGATTTTAAAAAATGCTCTGTGAATCCCTCACAGTGTAGTTTTGTCTTTCATAAAAACGGAAAAGGTTTCAGGCCTACCTGTACAGACTGAATTATGAATTGTCGGCAACTAATTACAGCTGTGGCCAAAACTAAGTTTTCCTGAAGTATAATTCAAGAAAAGAGTTAAAACTATTTACCATCACTTCAGCCAGTACTTAGTTTCCACATGGGACATTTTAAAAGACAAATCAAAATAATTTGCACAGTAGAGGCAAAATATTTTCCAACGTTTAAGCTTTGTAAAAAACATAAAATCTGACAGCAAAACATCCTTCCCCATGCAGCTGAAAGACCCTTGGAGCCGAGCCGTGCTTCTGTTAGCTACAGATAAAACCCACCTTCTGTGTTTCCATGGTAAATCTGCTCACTGGCCTGTGAAAATAAAAGAAAATCCTGCATGAAACAGTGAAGCAAGCAGCGAGTAAAGAGAAGCCCCTTCCTGCTCTGACACAGGAACCATGCGGGAGCTCTGGACTGCGTGGTTCCTGTTTCTGGAGTCGGCGTAGCGATAAGGCCTGCGCTAACTCTGAGCTGGATCCTGTTCACTCACCCGCTGGATGCCCTCATGCATATAAGTGTCTCCTCCTGGAAGAACTGCCTGGAGCTCCTCCAGGCCTTTACGGATACGTTCCCTGTGCAGAAAGCCAGAGGAATAGATAATGCTATCTGATCAAAAATATTTATTCTGTCAGAATCATTTGTTGATTTATCCCCCCCAACGAAACCAGACACACTTAAGTTTGGTCACAGAATAGCAGTTTCCATAACAGCAGTCCTTTGAGAAAATACAAGCAATGCGTAGCAGATGTGTAAAATCCGATCAGTACATATGAAGCTTTGCAAAACCAGCAGTAAAGGTCAAACTTTTGACACATTGTCATATTTAGACTGAAGACTATTTTATTTGCATTTGTACGTAAAAATCGGAACCAAATGATACGTGGTGCCTACCTGTCTTTACAAATAGTTTGAGTCCAGTAAGATTGGATGAAAAGAGTCAGTGAAATTTTAAATTAAATATGAACTTGGACTAGGCCATTCTAACAGATTCCCGTGCTTTGACCTAAACAGTTCCAGTGTAAGTAGCATTGAATGTTTACGTTTGCTATCCTGTTGGAAACTGAGCCTCATCCCAAGTCTCAAGTCTTTTACAGCACCCAACAGATTTTCTTCCAAGACTGTGCTTTAATTAACTGCATTCATCTTTCCATCAGCTCTGACCAGCTTTATGTCCCTGCTGAAAGAAAGGCATCACAAATGCATGATGTTAATGGAGGGGATGGAAGCATAGCATTTATTGCATGATTTTTTTTTTATTTCATTTTATTTTTATTTATTGAAAATGGGACACTATAGCATTAACAAACATGTTAATGGCTAGATTTTGCAAAAAAAAAAAAAAATAGTGTTTTGCAGAATTGAATAATTCTGCAAAATACTAAATTTTGCAGAATTTAGCCACTGGTGTAATTTCCGTCTATTGTCCTGAGCAGATGGATGGGGCAAGAAATAAAGAGTGAAGGAAAGAGAGGAAAAGAAGCAAAGATTAAGAGGAGAAAAAATAAACAAGACAATAATCAACAGACGGATATTAGTATTAACAAAATCAAACCCAGTCAAACAAGAAAACTGGACAAAAAACAGTGACTAGATAAAAATGCAGCATGCAGGAGTTACATTGTTCATGTTGCTTTCTTAAATGTTTCTCTGTATCCCATACATGGTTCCTAGAAAACTGAAAGCAGGACTTCTTATGACTTTCTTTCACCAGCAGATTTCTTCTTGCTACTCCTCCATAGAGACCAAATAGTTCACAATGAGTAGCCATCCAGATTCTTTCATTTGATATATGGATCTCTGAAAATCCTCCAGAGATGCGCTATGAATTACTAATTTTATATAGTAGCATAGGGGTAAGGGAAGTTGAAGGTATACGTAGAGCACACTTTTCACATTTTTCTTTGTAAAGGCATTTAAAAACACTTGGATAAGTCTTCTTCCACTTTACAGATAGTCTCCATTTTGTGTTTCTCTATATAGCGACTTCTGAGAGTCACTCAGACTGACAGCAGCGTGTTTGTCTACCGACGTTATTTATGACGGAACCATTAAACCTGCGAGAAGATGGTCTGGATGCTCAGGAAATATAAACTCATGAACTGTTCACAATATGTCAGAATCAAATGATAAAATACTCGCCCCGACTGACTAAACTATCACAGCAAGAGAAGGTATCTGTCTGGATTCTCTGCTCGGTCATAAAAAACGTGTGTCGTAACTATCACATCTGTCCAAATCTGCAGCTTTACTCTTTCCTTTAAGCTGTTTGGCAGAGAAGCAAAGGATTATCAGCAAGTTCAGGACGTCTGCTCCCACCTGTCTTCTGTCAGCCTCATCAAGATCCGTCCCTCGTTGGAGAACACAATGAAGGACATCCGCAACTGTGGGCTGAGGTGAGAAGAGCAGAAAAATACAGCATCAGTAATTAGGTCTTAACAGCCACTTTCTCACTGACTCTGGGCTATTACCTTATGAATTTATGAGCCAGGTGTTCGACAAAACTGTAGATTTCATTCCAGTGATTCTGCACACTTCCGGATCTGAGAAGAGAGCAGACAGCTTGACGTGAGCAGAATATGCTTCAGCCTCTGTCTGAGCGTATGAGGAGTTAACAGTGAGAGAGGATGGTATGCAGTGCCTTCAAAAATGATGCATTTCCTTATGTTGTCTGTTTTTATTGTTTTATCATTGCAAAGTTTTTGCATAATTCTGAAGAGGGAGAAAAGGTATGCATGCTTTTTAGATTAAACAAAAACATTTTAAAAAGAGTGATCCATGTCCCTGAATGAACACTTTGAAGAACAAACCTTCACTACAAATACAGCTACAAGCGTTTATCTTATGTCTTTATCAGCTATTTTCATCTTCAGAACCAAAAGTTGTTCATTCTTCTTTTCAACGTAGCTCAAGCTCAAGACTGAATAGAAAGTGATCAGCTCTTTTAACTCATGCCAATGATTCTCAGTTTAAATGACCGGACCTCAATCGAGACATTTGAATGCATAAATATTTCTCGCTCTAAAAAATTCAAGTGTAGCTCCGGCTGTATGTATATTTACTGACTTGCTGGAAAGAGATGCTCCGTATCAAGTTTTAGTGGAGTCTAATGGGCTTTCTAGCATAATTACACTGTTTTCATCCATCCATCTTGCCATTAGCTCTGTTCAGTTTCCTTGTCAAAGTTGAAGAAGAGCATCTCATTGGATGATGCAACTATCATCCAATGGATGATAGTTGCATCATCCATTTCCCAATGAATGATGCAACTATGTTTTTGTCAGGAATTCTGATTTCCCTTTTCATTTTCTGTCCATTTTGTTGGACTTTAATTACCCATCATGTTTTGTTGAAATCTGCCTTTACTTGTATTTCTCTTTGCGGTGTTTAGTAAAATACAGAAAAAGCAGCTGAATCCATTAAATTGCTCTGAGCTACTTAACCTCAAGATGAAGCAATGATGCCATACTTACTTGCGTATCAAGTCCTCTAAAAGCAACTGAAACATTTTCTAGTCACTGTAATCATTCTTTGATTTCAGAAACTTTCATGAACCCAGCTGTGTAATCACTTCTCTGTCAGACAGGACATTGACTGATGGCAGCTGTCTTTTCCCCGATTAAATAATCTCACATCTGACCTTTTCACTGTCATATTGTAACTTGAGGGTTTCATTCCCTTGCACTGTGATCATGGCGAAGGCTGCTGTTTCCTGCTGTGCTGGAAGAAAAGTACCATTCGGGAAGGTTCCTATGGCATTTGCGTGCTTGTCACTGCTGATTCTTATCAAACGACCTTTCATTTAAACCGTGTTTTCATAAGGCCTTGAGTTTTCCTAATACATATTTTTCCAGCGTTACCATGACACAAGTCCCAACTCGAGCAGCTGTGCCAAGAGGCTCCACATCTGGATGAAATGGAGAAAGGCAGAGCTGACAGAGAGTAAGAAGGAGAGTCCAGGACAAAGAAGACATTGGGGGCAGATGAAGGACATCAGAGAAAGGTTAATCTGGAGAAACAATATGTTGAAATACGGGAAGAGGAGGAGTGTTTTTAGAGAACTAATGCCCAACTAAATTGTTGGTGTAAGCCAACAATTTTTGTTAAATCAACAACAAAGAGACACACAGGAAGGAGGAAGCTGGAGAGAACCCATGCATAAACATGGAGAACATGCAAACTCGATACAGAAAGACCTCCTGCCAAGATTTGAACTCAGGACCTTCCTCCGGTGCCATCAACTGTGCCGCTGCGAAGCCCACCAGATGTACATCGAAACGACTGAGACCGAAAAATTTACATGAGTTAATATGGCCCAGTCAAAGTCCAGACCTAAATCCAGCTGAGAATCTGGGGCATTCCTTGAAAATCAATGTCCAAAGACATTCCGTCTGACTTCGCTTGTGTCACATTACAAAGAAAACAGGCCCAAATATAAAAGTCTCTAAAGCTGTAAAGTTAGCAAGAACACACTTCAAAAGACACGGAATACTCAACAAAAAGAAATAAAGACTCAGGGGGTTGACTCAGTTCTTGCATGAATTCTTCACGGTTTCGAGTTTTACTTGTAAAATATTTGAAAAGTCATCAATGCATGAATGAACACAGCCAGATTTTGGAATTTACTTTTAAAACCTCCAAAAGCCATGCCTCATTTCCCTTCAGCCTTAGAATTAAGTACTATTCGGTGTGGGAAAATCGCAATAAAATACCTTGAGATTTGTGAATGTAAAATCACAACATGTGAAAAGCGTTAAGGCAGTAGGCAAACTGTAGACAAATGAGAAAATGCTGTATTTAGCATGGCTCATCCAACACGACTCCCCCCACCTCGACAGTTTACTATGTCTTTGGGGATGGTAAGTGCTGCTGAAAAGGTTGCGACCTACATTTGAGCACGAACTGAAATTGCTGAAGCACACATGCATTCAAGAACTTTACATTGACTTCCATTCATTTTCCATTTATGTCCATAACCTCACCCCGACCCTTACAGGAAATGCAACCATTGTCAGTGCATGCCTACCCTGAAACCTAACCAAAACTCAATTCACACCTTCGTCCTAAACCTAACCCTTAACCCTACAACAGCATTTCTTCTTGTGGACTCTGGGGTTTGGACCCCGTACGTAGCAGTGGGTCCTCAGTGAATCATTTGTTCGTAAAATGGACCTTACATGGTGAGAAATACCAAAACACACGCACGCACGCACGCACACACACAAAACGATGAGTCAAGTCCAAGTTAGACAAACACAGATGTCTGCATGTCAGAACCAAACAAGCTAGTTATCCTAGCTCCCTGGTGGTTAACGAGCATTTGGAAAGTTACTGCAGTGAAACGGACATGTTAGACTTAGAAGCACAACTGGTTAAACATCACAAATCATTAATATTAAAGGCTAATGTGCTGTGCACTCTGTTGCCAATGGAGAGTATAACTAGGTAACACACTTTGAGAAAATATGAGCTGTGGGTAGCTGGCAGTAAGAATAGCATGCCCTGTCACTGGGGATAAATTTATGTTACATCATTTACCATTCTTGTCGTTTTGAGCTGAACCAGTCGACACGTGTAAACAGAAACCATTTGCTCCCCCTGCAAGAGTGTCAGGTGAAGTGTTGGCTAACTTACATGTCCAGGACAAAGTAGAGATCAAAACCTCCAAAGCATGAGGACTGCTGAGGCTGCCTCCTGCCCTGGTTTGGTCCAGCATCCACAGCAGTGAGCAGAACCAGCGTGGCACCAAACACCACTGGGAACCAGAGCCTCCTGCTCCAGTGCTGAGACATCATTCCACTTAGAGAAAATTTCATAACAATCAGACAAAAAAAAAGGAGAAAGGATTAATCCTTTTTGCAGATTCCTCTGTTAATCCTCCATTGATGTTTTCAGATGCAGTAATCCAAGGGGAAAGCTGCAAGTGTTGCTCAGAGTTTGAAGAGGAAGACTGAGACAAAGCAGAGGAGCTGGTGGCCCCCTCTCATCTGCAGGTTCAAGGCAGCAGGCACATGGATGAGAGCAGCTCCTCAAACTACATCTGAAGCTGCTCTTTTGTTTGTGCCATGTAGACAGAAAAACCCTCCAACCCTGGATGTGTTTGCAAAAACTTTCCATGTGTTTCTCTCTTTTTCCCTGGATCTTAGTGGGAAGAGTGATGAGGACAACGTTGTGAAAGCGTCATAATCTTCTGACTACTCCTGCCACCTAGTGGAAAGGGCTGCTTTATGCTGACAGCAGTGACCCCACAAAGCACTGTGTGATTTGGCACTTAAGCATTTACCCTATGCCAATTATCTGTAATTACAGATCCCTGCCATTGTGTAAACAAAGAACACCCAACACGTCAATGCTTTCTGCAACATTTCATTTAAATATCACCAAAGCTGGAGAAAAGAAACACCTGGAAGGAATTTGAAATCACATGAAATCACTTGTGAAGTGGGATATATATTTCAGCTGTGCTTGATTTTCTTATTTGTAGAATATATTCCAGAGGTTACTTGAAGCTACAAGATATCAATGAAAATGCTCAAATATAACTCATGCTTGGTCTGCGTATGGTTTTCTTTTCAGATACTTACTGTCTAATCTCATCTCATTGTGCCAGGAACAAATGGTCTCTCTGATTATTGGCCATTCATTTTTATGCCTTGCTTGTGTTCAATCAACCAATAAACTAGTATTTTTTTTTTACTGACTGCATTCCTTTGTTTGTTTGTAAAATTGGCAGCCAAATCTCTCAAGCTTTCCAGACATTTGTTGGACATGTGTTCCTTCTATATGCCTTTTTCTTTTTTATTTGCATTGTTTGTTATAAAGGGTATTAACCCAAGTGCACTCGAGTCTTGAGCTCCAGACAACTTTGGAGTTTTTTGGGTTTTCTTGCTTTTACATCATCTATTGTGGAGTAATCTCATATAACATTCTCACAGTTCAGAAATGATGGGAAAAAACCAAAGTGTTCTTCATACACGGAAACATTTCATGAGGAAAAATAGAGCATTTGTACAAACGTTATGATATGGATCAAAAATACTTTCTGCATTTAGTCTTTAAAAGTGGCCAGATATGAGGTAGTAAAATAAACAAAAAAGGACCAGTCCATAGTGGACCTGTTAACAGCTGGAGGCGGACACCAATATTCAAAGAGTTTCTGGTTTTTGACCCTGCTTGTCTCCTGGTAAATCTCTCTTTTTATTTTTCCCTAGTTTTCATCCAGTCATGACACTCATCTCTGTTTTTGTGTTCCAGACGCGCCAGTGTAACCACATCTAGCAGGACCACTTCAACACCATCGCTTTGTGTCTAATAAGCCTTTTGGTAACTGTCCCCTTGTCTTGGCTGCATGTTTGGTTCTGCCTTGTTTACTTAAACGTTACAGGATGTGGATATTCAGTGATGAAACACTTAAAAGAAAATGACTAAAACATCAATGAAAGAAAAATGTTGAAGTGACAGTTTGAACCTCAGACAGTCATAATGAAGTTCATACGTATGTATGTAAACTTTTGAATTTTAACATTAATTTTTTTTAAAAACTGACACATTTTTTTCTTTATTGTGGAATTTGACAAAAAGAAATAATATTGTTTCTGAATGAAACAAGATTAGTTTGGCCTGATTTAACTTCATGCAGACAGTGAGGGGGGGAAAAAAAGAAGAAAAAAATAGTGTGTTTTTATTTTGTTTATTTAAACTTCTGGTTTCAACTGTGACTTATTTACTGCTTGTGTAAACTAAAAATATATATTTTCTTTCATAGGTTTTCTTGTAAATTGCAAAATATAGCATGTTTGTATCAGTGCATGATCAACATTGGTGTCTGTGGTATGAATTTCTATAGTTTCTTTTTTTCTTCCTTCCTTTCAAATATCTGAAGCAATAGCTGGATTACCTAGTTTTAGCAGCTGGCACTCCAGCTGCAATCACATTTCTGTATTTCCCTTTTTAAGGTGAAAAACACTGAATCTACAGAAAAAGGAACATAGTATCTGTGGATGTTTGTTCCCACTTTCATTAATATGAGGTCAAACTAAATTCTCCTAAATATGTCTTTCATATTCATGTCTAACTAATTCACAGAGCAGCTTACTTATTCACTGCAAACAGCAAATGCGTACATTGAAAGAAATACCGTATATGGTTCTCCCTGTTTATTAGGAATGAAAAACACACTGGATCCACAGAGATGAGTGTGAAAATGCCTTTGCCGTGTCCTTTCAGCCTTGATCTGGCTGCCACTGCTAATCAATGTTTTACTGAAACTGAAACTGTTGTTTTCCTTTTCTTAGTTTTTTGTATATAGGACTACAAACATTCAGCAAACCAGACCTAAGTGCGCCTACCTGTCTAAACACAGTTAGACAAAAAAATGATCAGTGTTTTTGTAGCTGGGAATAAACTAAAGTTTTTTTAAACCAAAAGAGAAGACAATAAAGCCAAATGAAATTACATTATCGTGGATCTACAGTTATTATATATTCAAATTACTTTGTTTCATTAATATATGGCACATTTAGCTTACTGTTAGATTAAAAGACAATAATTTACAGCAAAATTGTTTTTTTTTTATTTAATGTTTTTGGCCAATGATCACTTTCGACTTGATATTTTTGGCACTCCTGGCAAAAGGTTTGGACACCAGAGGTTTAATCCCTTGAAATCCTTTGTCACTGTGCCTTTTGGAGATGAAAATGTCAGCCTTGAGTAAATATTTGAATCAATAGTTAGATTTCAGAAGGTCAAACATCTTTTATTTGTGCAAACACATAACAACCATGCTGAGCTGAAATGTGTAGATTGTCACAAGTACATTTTTTGCATTCTTTATTTATTCTGTAGGCATGTGAAGGTCCTTTACAGATTAAAGTCAGATTAAAGGATCTTCTTAGTATTTCATAAAACCATCATTAGGATGTTTAGATCAACTGGATCAATAATTGCATTATTTTCCTACACCAGCAAAAATGGGACAGAGTACGGATGGGTTGTCTTTCTTGTGGACAACATACTGGCATGCCTTCGGGTCAAAAACAGAAACACAATCTTCAGGGAATCTTCTTGGAGTTGCATACCTGAAATCAGACGGCAAGCAGAAGAAACAATGAAATGTATGCATGTAAATCTAACTGTTCTTTTATATTCACAATATCATAAAATATTTTTTTGCACGTACCCATAGCAGCATTGATCACAAGTACAATCTTGACACACACTGTTCCTCTATTTTGTCCCTTTAGGATGCCATGTCAAATCCACACCATCCTGGCAATGGGTCTGATTTTCTCTTTCTGCACCGTAAAAGGGAAAAACAAAACCAAGATATGGGTTTGAATATTTAAAGCAAAGAAACCTTATCACTTAAGCACCATAAGTATTCTGTGAATGTTTCGTTTTACCAGGTGTCCTGCGTTTGAAAATGCACTGGGAGTCTGACAGCGATATCAGGACACAGAGCAGCAAAGCCAGCGCCAAATATTTCTTTAGATTTAAGAACACACAGTGCACTTTAATAAACAACTGAATAATTTTTTTATGTAAATATAATCAATCCTTTTATATATGCGTGCACATTTAAAGTTCAAGCAAACAATTCATTAAAAAAAATGTAACAAGAGTTTTAAAAACCCTCACAAGGAACTGTCAATGCAAATTGTTAAATAAAACTTACCATTGTGGCTCTGTGATTTGTCAGCTTGTCCAGGTAAAGAAAAATATGCTGAAATCTCCTTTGAGGACTTTGTCTTTTAAATACTGTTTTTGCAGGGACCTTTGGAATCAAACATCAATAAAGGAGCGTTTACTTCATTTACTGGAAGGGGTCAAAGCCCCTTGGGGAAAACAAATAAAAAATATAAAATATGCAAAATAATTTTTTGGGAGGGTTGTTCTGTTAACTCATTGAGCTCAATTTTGTGCTTGTATGACCTTCAACTTTTTGGTGTCTGTGCATGTTTAGAAGTAGGTGCGATTGTTTTAAGATGGTGAGTGTAGAGGTGGGCGGTGCGGACTTAGAATTTTATGAGAATATTTTATTTATATTACTATTGTGATAAAGATAAAAAATGACGATACATTTCTTACTTGTTTTAATGGTATGGCCCTCGGATTACCCTGTTCTATTTATTGGAAAAACAAAAAAACAAAAAACAAAAAAACAGTCCGTTTAATTTGTATTACTTTTTTGTATTTTTAACCAGTTTCCAGCTTTATGATCCACTGCAGTGATCCAGTCCATGTTTTGCGTCACTCTCTGAGGCGCCACATACAGGGTTGCCATATTGGGTACATTTCAGCTTCTTCTGTCCTGCCTGTTTTCAGTGCGAGGAAAAGGGGGGGAATTGTAGCAGGACAAGGCAACAAACCAGACAACAAAAGGAAGTAAGGGCTTTACGCAGAGTGGTTTTATGTTGCTTGCAACATTTTCATCATATTGTTTAATACAAACCTATTTTTATCTTACTCGGCTCGGAAGCGGTCTGAAGTCATACCGACAAAGATGATCTAATCAGATGAGGAGGTATATTTTACTGAAAGCTCTAGCGACGTCTTACGTATTTGCTTTTAGCTTGCTATGCTAACATCCTTTTGCTAGGCCAACCCACTCCAGCCCTCCGTCCTCAGGGTCTTTAGCCTTTTCAAACTAATAATGTTTTGTATTGTTAAATATTTACTAAAATCAATTATGCGATATGTTCGGTGGGGGTTATCATGATTTATTTAATGTTACACAGAACTCAAATACGTTTACGTGCAGTGACTGAAGCTGTATTTATTATGACAATTGTCTTCTCAATTTGTGTTTTGTTTTACTACTTTAGCCTTTTTGGCTTTTCTAAATCTTAATCCCGCTCACTGCTTCTTGGCGGACGAAGCATTCTCAGATGAACATACTTAGTGGACATTTTTGTAATTTGAGTTTTTATTATTTATGTGTGCTAGAATATTGACACATGAGCATGAATAGCGAAGAAAAATATTCTGGGTCGACAAGATTTCATGTATAATTTTTGAAGCTGTGGATTCAGTGTTTAGTTGTCCTCCACAAATGCAGGCCTGATAGCATGGTAGTTTAAAAAAAATCACATCCATTATAAAGCATAAAGTTAATATAAATAATATATTAGCTAACATACATGTAGCTTTATGCATGCAATAAATACGACGTGTGTGTGTGTGTGTGTGTGTTATATTTTACATGATGCCAATATCGCAACAAAAGGTTCAAAACTAGGACAGCGACTGCACCTTAAAGGCAGAATTTCTGGGTTTATTTACGTTTCTCAACTTTACATTTAAACCTATGGAGTTGAACATTTACTTTATAAAAAATTTTCTCAAGCTTTGAAACAAATCAAATGTGATTTTGTTGAATAGAAACTTCAGTACTAGACTACATGTTATTATTTAGCATATTCGCCAATAAAGTGCTTGGAAACTTGCTAAAAGTAACTTATCTGCTGTTATCTCTTCGTGGGACAATCTCCAGTTGGGTCTGTTCACGTTCACATTATTATAATATGATCTAAATCTCCACTAATTCCTCTATAGTCACCTCTATTTTATTTGTTTCACCTCCAATATGAACAGATGAGGTCTCTTACTTTTTGTAAGATACTTTTTGTGGTTTCAAATTGATGTAATTTGTTTTGTATTGATGTGCTTTTCAGTGTACGTCACATTGAACGCTGCCGGTGCAGTTGGGATAAATCAGCCAACGTAAGAGGTGAAATCTGTAAACAAGATTTCACCTCTTCCGGCGAGAAGAGCAGTAACGCTGGGCTGGGTAAAATAAGATTGTTGACTGGTCTCTGAAAAGTCACAGAGGATTTCTCCCTCGGAAGCCACCACAGTGAGGAGAATAGTGCATAACTTTGCAAAACAAAAAGTCTGACACCGATTCCTCAGTAGGCAGTAAAAACAAGAAAAAAGTTATTTTCTTATTTCTTCAAGCATCTCTAAATGCTCTCCTGCTCCTCCTTTTCCAGACTCATCTAAACGCCCCACCAGTGGCTGGGGTCTGTTTCGGGCCGGGCGTGGCTCAGGAAGAAGATGCACCGCGGGGATAAGGACTTGCAGTCATCCGCACGCAAGATGGGCACGTCCTTGCTTTTCCAGCTGTCGGCCTACGAACGCGAGCTGGACCTGGTGTTTCTGGACCACAGCTACGCCAAACCGTGGAACGCTCACCCCGATGCCAGCAGCGCTCGGCCCACAAGAACGCTGTTTGTGACGCCGCGTCGTCAACCTGAGGCTTTATCGTGAGTATAAAAACAGTTTTTAAGTGTTCTAAGGAAACAGACGCGTGGCTACTTTTTTCGTTTTACTCTAAAGGGCGGATCATTCCTAAACAGTTCCTCATACGATTCCTTTGTTGTTTTCTCCCGCACAGAGACTCTGATTCCCTAATAGATGTGGAAACGGTCACGCCAACACCTGTTCCTCTGTATGACAACCAGAAGGCTCTGAGTGTGATGAAGGAGTGCGAGAGGCATGTCCTGTTTGCTCGAACAGCCGCCGACGGCCCCCCACCTCCAGATGACTGGGAGGAACATATAAACAAGTAACCAGACATGCTTACTGATCACTTCTACTGCATTATTTGAAGCTCATAAGTCTAACACACGTATCAGCAGGTCAGTGTTTTGAGATGGTTTTTCCTTTTCAGGACGGGCTGGTCAGTGACCCAGAACAAGTTGTTCAACAAAGTCCTTAAAGCTCTACAGGGAGAAAGACTGGCACGACTGGCCAATGAAAATGTAACTTTTTTTTTTTTTTTTTTGCTGCTGTTTTTCTTAGTTTTCAACTCTAGGCGGTTAATATGTGTGGAACGCATCAAAATGTTTGTTTTTCTTTTCTTTTTCTTTCTGTGCTTGAATATTTTAATCGCCTTCAGTTTTCTGTGAGTAAAAGTTGATACGTTTTTCTGGATTTGGTATTTAGACGAAAGGCCCCGCAGTGTCGCACTTGATCAGTAACGACACGTTTTTTTTTTCGTCTTCCGTGTATTTCAGGCTTCCAACGAGCCCATTCTGCGGAGGATAGCTGTAGACAAGTGTGCCAGGAAGGTGCGGCACGCGCTCGCCAGCGTGAACTGGGAAACCAAGCTGACGCAGTGGCTGCACACCACGCTGATCGAGTCGCTGAGCCTCCCCATGCTCGCTGCTTACCTGGATGTGCTGCAGACTTTAAAAAGCAAGGTATGATTTAGTCACTGAACGAACACCGGGAGCAGGTGCACGTAATATTTCATTACCTTGCTTGATCAGGGAGCTAAATTTTGATTTGTCTGTTTATGCGAAGCTGCCGACGCTCATCGACAGAATGCTGCTGCCGTCTGCAAAGACTGGAGCTCCGAGTGCGGAGGCTTTGTCTCTGCTGCTGAAGCGTCCCTGGGATCCTGCCGTTGGGGTTCTGTCGCAGAACAAACCGGTAAAAACCACGACTAATGACAAAGTGGTTATTGGATGTGTTTCTTTTTTTGTTGTTGTTGTTGTGGTCAAATCTTGAATAAATGACAACAAAGTTTTTCCTGTGCTTGTTGTGTCAGAAATCTTCTAGCAGGGACTTTTCATTTATTTATTATTGTTATTGGATATTTACCCTACATCACACAGCCCTGGTTTAAACTTGAATGTATTTTACTACAATTTTGTATGGAAAAAACTAATTAAAAAAAAACTAACGTTTGACTAAGACTGCGAGACGCAGCGTGTTGCTCAGATAGATGCGACTCGATCCACTCTCCTTCCATCTGTATGTTGCAGTGCAAGCTTCCTGGCTCTCCTCTGATTCTCATCGCGCCGTCCAGCCCAACAAATCCGGCTCTCTCCACCTCGCGGAGGATGAGGTTTTGGCAGTCGCAGCTCTCCTGCCTGGGAAAGGTCGAAAAGCTCCCTTTGTTCTAGTTTTCCATTTGGAATGGAAGTCACTTCACTTTCCTTGCAGGTAGAAGTTTTAATGAGTGCCGTTTTTACTGCAGGTCATCCCGGTGCACACTCATGTGAACAGTGGGGCCAATATTGGAATCACACAGTGTTTGGAGCACATGCTGGGGACGGTCAGAGCCAAAGTCATGGAGGTGTGTCTTTATATATGTGTTTATCACTGTGTGCTTGCTTCCTAAGGGTGTTTTTAAGATGTACATTAAAAATAATTATGACTATAAAAATATCATCTAAAGAAGTTGGGGTTGTTTTTTGTTTGTAAATATTATGACTAGCCTAACAAAATCCTTGTATTTATCGATTAAAATCTATGGCTCTAAAACCAGGATAAGAATGATTTGGCAGTTCACCAAGTGTGCAGATCCACATATGTTGTAAAATGTTTGTAGTGACATTATTTCGTAAACTTTGTCCGACAGGTTCACAGTCACTTCCCACACAAGCCCATCATCCTGGTCGGCTGGAACGCCGGTGCGCTTATCGCTTGTCATGTAAGAGTTAATAATAATATTATCACAATCATGCATCATCACATGGAAATTTGTGTTTTTTTTTTTCTTTTTTCTAAATAAAAACACGAATCCATTTTCTGCCAGGTGTCCCTCATGGAGTATCTGACGGCCGTCGTGTGTCTCGGCTTTCCGCTCCTAACGGTCAACGGGCCCAGAGGGGTGAGACCTCAGCTGTCCTCCTACTCGCTGTTAGAAAGTGTGACCTTCAGCTTGAATTCGGGTCTGTGATGAGCCGCTGGCGTGTCGCTGGTTTGCAGGACGTGGACGACCCGCTGCTGGACATGAAGACCCCCGTGTTGTTTGTGGTTGGGCAGAATGCGCTGCAGTGCACCACAGACGGCATGGAGGAGTTCAGAGAGAAGCTGAGGGCCGACAACAGCTTGGTGGTGGTCGGAGGAGCAGACGACAACCTCAGGTCGGTCGCCGCCCTGATCAAGGTTTAAACTGGTGCAGGAGCCGGTTTAAAAGCTTACTGGTCCTGTTGCACCTCCAGAGGCAGCTTGACGCCTCTTCGTTAGCTAACTTTAAATTCTCTCTCTGTTATATTCTGAGCTTGGAGAATCACAATGCGGGGAGACGGTGGTATCACTGCACGACTCTTTGACCAAACATGCAGCTGTTGACGTGAAGACATACCAGCATGAAGAGATTTTTATTTTTAAAGAAGATTTTTCAAGCACTTTCTGTCATTTTTGTTAAATGTGGGCGTCTCCTGCTGTGAAACTCCATATTGCATCGACACGCACACCTGGAATATATTAGTCCAGACCGCTGGGATATTAATATTGCACACACTGATGGTGGTGTTGCAATATTTTTTGCAGGTCTACTTTTTGTCTGCTGTTTATCTGTTATTTATCGCTTTGTTATTGAACGTATGTGGTCTTTTATCACCATCTGTCAAGAACAACATGTTATTTATTAATCTATGTAATCTTGAAAAGTCTGGAAAATGAAAGAGTTCCCAGAGTTTCACATTTAATTTACTCTGACCTTTATTGTGTGAAAAGAGGGGCTTTAGCATCGATGAACATTTAGCTGATCATCTTCTTACATGACAACTCATCAGATTTCGCCTAACTCACCGATTGTATTGCTTTCTCAGACGCGCACGTATATTGAAGAATGGGGATTAAAAAGAGGTCACGTCACTGCTATAGGATTTTAAACTGGGCCCCAGTTCATTTTAAATAGGAACATTCTTAGGAATCCGGGTGAATGCTTTATAATCCCAAATAGCTGATCTGGGATCAGGACAAGGTAGCGCCGTAAAGGTGAAGCAAAGCTCTGTGTGTCCGTGAAGGCGAGGCGCTCGCTCGCAGCTTTTCCTTCTAATTTTTGCTCAGCTGAAGCAGCAGCAGCGCCCCAGTCATTGATTTTCGCTGCTGCTTCATTGGGGGGCGTTAATGTGCTGGTTTGTACGCCGTCTCGGCGTATTGTTGGAACAGGCTTCTCCTGATGTTGCGGTGATTCAGTTGCTCTACGACGCCAACATTCTTGCGTGTAAGCAGCACAGAGCTGGCTCAGTTTGGTCTGTGGATGAATCGCCAAAGAGAACAGAGGCGGCAGAATGGCTTGGGTTTATTTTTCTCTTGCTGAGAAGTCTCAGCTGATGTCTGAATAGAGATTGAGTAAGCCTCACATTGCAGGTTCATGCATGCAAGTTATCAAGCTTTTCTCCACCAAATAAATGTAATTTTTCTTTTTAAAAAAAAAAATAGAATAAAACATCAGTACTTTATATGAGGCAAAGAGACTGTGTGGAGTTAAAGTGGCTGCGCCTCGGATGTCACTTTCTGTTTTTGAAAAAATAAAATAAAATAAAATAAAAAAGTCCATGAATTTCTCCACAGAATCAATTCGGCAAAGATGAAGTCGGAAGGTTTGACGCAGACGATGGTGGACCGCTGCATTCAGGATGAGATAGCTGACTTTCTGTCAGGAGTCCTGACCCGGGCAGAGGGCCACGGTCACGGCTCCGGGGAGATGAGAGACCTGGACACGGAGAAGAAGAAGCGGCCTCGACGGGAGCTTCCCTTTGACGTGGAGAGAGGTCGACCTTCGTCTCCGGCTCTTAGAGTTCCCATTTCACCCTCAGGTTCAGAGGTTTGTTACAATCCTGTGAACATTAAGTTGCACAAATTGGAATTACAAAAATAAATTTGTTTAATGGAAACATTTTTGAACAATTTTGGGGGGGGAAAAACAACTTAAGTTTGAAGTGAACATCTATTTTTTTTGTATCTTAAAGTTTCAAACAGTAAAATGCAGCAGGTCCACCAGACCCACAAGCCAAGATAAATAATTTACAGTTAAACTAGGGAGCACCGTTTTTGGTCACACTTATTCTCCTGCAACAAGAGTGTAAAAATTGATAACTAGCTTCAGTGTTCAGCTATATAAAAAATAAATCCTGGATATTTCACTTGACTCAGAGTTGTGGCACATCTCTTCTGTCATCTCAGGATTTGTCCAGCGTCTGCAGCAGCCCCACTTCCAGCCCCAAACCGAAGACGTCTGGTCTGTCTCCAGCACAAAAGTCCAGCCTGATCACGGCCACGCAGCTCCTCAAGACGCACATGCAGCGCTCTGGCACCGTGCTCACACACAAGCAGGCTCAAGGTTAGCTAATCTCGCAACGCTGGACGCATTAAAAGCGCTCTGTAAGCTTTCACATTCCTGGTACCTGAGCATAAACAACCCTCCCTTTTGTTTAACCATTTTTGGAAGTTAATCGCCTCAACTTTGGCTGAACTCTGCGCGAGCAGACGCCGTGGTATGTGAGATGTGAAAACGATTGCAGCGCGTTTTATCGTGTCACGACATCCGGCGGGCGTGAGATGGAACGTGACTGAAATTGCTTTCCTCTCATCCTCTTTGTCTCCTCTCCTTCTGCAACTTTCCTTTCTGGCTTTTTTCCGATTCGTTCCAGCTCAGTTTGCTGCTTTTATGAAACAAAACATGCTTGTGAGGAAAAATCTTCCTCCTGGCACCCCTCCTTGTATTTTTGGTAAGTATCTATCTATCTCTCCTCCTCTCCTCCTCTGTCCTGTCTTCTGGTCTTTTCTCTTCCACTTAGTTCAAATAAAGCGCCAGTTTAAGAGTACAAAAATATGTAGAAATGTACTATAATCAAAAGAGAGGTGAAAATGATCATACTTTGGCTGGCGAGGGAATTAAAACCCTTATTAACTCAGGCTGATTCAGTGCTTCTGTCTTTGTGTATTGATGCTTCTTTGCCCCTGCAGTTCCAGTGACCAGCGATCAGCTGGAAGGCCTGGACAGAGACGAACTACGTCCTCACGGCAAGAGGAGGCAGACACCCAGTCCCACGCCCAGCAAAGCCTCCAAGAGAGCAAAGATTAAAGTTACCATTGTTTCCCAAAGCGAGTCAGCAGGAGGCGCCATCAGCCCTGCTGAAGGTAGAGAATCTGGATAACTTCCATATTTCCACGTATTGTGGTGTTTTGGTTTGTGCTTTGCTGTTGCAGCAAAGTGCCAACTTTTGTGTGTCTTTAATCATGAAAATGATTCATCTCGGGTGACGT